AACAACAACAACAACAACAACAACAACAACAACAACAACAATAACAACAACAACAACAACAACAATAAACAACAACAACAACAACAGAAGCAGTAACAAAAACTAAAAACAAAAATGAAAACAAAAAAACAAAAAAACACAACAACACCACCCCCAAGCAAAGTAGATAGAACTCACCTTCACATAACTTATAAAAACATTCATTATATATTCATGAAGTTCATCCTACCTGGTCGTTGTCCACTGGTTCCGCTGATCCTCTCCTGGACCTTGTCTTTGAAGATTTCCTGGATAGACTTGGACCTGATTCCTTGTGGTGAATGAGAGACAATAAAAGTCAATTAGGTCGTTTCACACACAACAATAGAACGTTTTATACGTTGAGAAATCACCCCCCCCCCACCTTAAAAAGACCCTCATAAACCAAACCAAATAAAAAACAAACAACAAAACAACAAAACAAAACAAAACAGAAGAAGCAGCAGGAAAAAGAAAGGGTCCACATGTTCTATCCTTGTATGTAATTTTCTGGTTACAATACAAGTACGATGTAAAAATACATAGATTGAGAGATTAGGACCTGTCTTGTTCAAGAACAAAACTCAGTGGCCACCCATCGTGTAAACGACGTTGCTTGACATCATTGGAGAGTCTGAGCCCACTACGCGGGTAACTCGACAGCCGGAGCGAATCTACCACTAGGCAAGTTGTTGCTTTTCCAAGATCATCTGAATTTGTCTTGTGTTGGGCGTTACTCGCGCACAAATAACACCATTGAAACGTGAAAAGTTTTCTTTCTGTCCGCACAACGCCATCTCATCCCCTCCAAATCCCCCTCCCCCAATCAACAACAACAACAACAACAACAACAACAACAACAACAACAACAATAACAACAACAACAACAACAACAACAGCAACAGCTACAACAACAATAACAACTACAAAAACAACATAAAAAGCAAAAACGAAAAAAAAACCCCAACAACAACAAAACCCAGCAACATAGATAGAATTCACGTTCTCAAATTTTATAAAAACAATCATGATCGAGCCATAAAGTTTTGTCCTACCTGGTCATTGTCCACCGGTTCCGCTGACCCTCTCCTGGACGCTGTCTTTGAAGATTTCCTGGATAGACTTGGACCTGGCTCCTTGTGGTGAATGAGAGACAATAAACGTCAATTTGGTCGTTTCACACACTACAAAAGAACGTTTTATAGGTTGAG